AAAAAAAAAAAATTAAAAAAAAAAAAAAAAGTATTTGGTCCTGTAGTAGCTGTGCAGATGTCCCTAGACCAGGTCTAGAAGAATCAATACAGACATGTGTCCAAAACCTTCTGAGTTTGGGGCCAAAGAGATGGCTCAGTGGAATAAGCACTTCCCTGGCAAGTGTAAGGGCCTGAGTTCAATCCCTGGTTCCGTTAAAAAAAAAAAAAAAGAAAGAAAACCTTCTGAGTTTGAAGCTATTATAGGAGAGCCTGTGTCAAAGGAATGGCTTTTATATTTTCTTACAAAGATCACAGAATATTGTATACACTTCCGGTAAATCATTGATGTACTTTTTTTTTTTTTTTTTTTGGCAGAACTAGGGATTGAACTCAGATCCTTGAGCTTGCCAGGCAAGCACTTATTCTACTGAGCCATCTCCCCAGCCCCTGTTGATGTACTTTTTACATAGTACTTTTTGCTACATATCCAGCAAACCTATAGTGGTGATTACCTGTGGAGATATAAAGTTGATAATCACCTTTCTCTGTGGGTGAGTGAATCAATGTATTACTTCAATAATTCATAATTACTGTTTCAAATAAAGTGCTCATTGGATTCTGGTGGTCCCTGGGCACTTTGGCCAGAGGAAATTCTTGAGAGTAGTAAGAGCAGAGGCTGAGAAACAGGCACACGGAATGGGGCCTGAGCAAAAGAGGCAACGGTACAATTGAGTGCAGACGACTCTGCTGAGTGTGGCCATGAGGGGAAGCAAGGGATTGGGGCCAGAAGAGGATGTGGTATCCAAGGAACGCTCTTGAAGATGGCAGGAGGCTGCAGGAGCCAGCCAAGAAAGGGCAAGTGCTGGGGACAGGGAGGATGGCACAAGATCCTTGGGGAGGAGGCTGGGTAGACCAGAGGCCTTGGGCAAACTGTGACATGTGCCCCTGAACCTGGAGCCCGTCCATGAGTATGTGTACCTCCAGCCCTAGCTCATGCTAGGCCCTTGGTTACTGACTGTCCCGTGATGCATGGCATCATTAAGGATAGCCACCCACTAGAACCAACCAGAAGAGGGCAGTCACTGCCCTTTAAGAAAACTTGTAAGTGGGGCTGGTGAGATGGCTCAGTGGTCTAAAGCACCTACTTAGAACAAGCTTAGCAAAGCACGGGGACCGCGCTTCAATCCCCCAGCACCACATGCCAGCCAGCCCCGCCCCCTGGTGGGCTGAGCTGGCCACACACACACACACACACACACACACACACACACAAATAAAATTTAAAAAAAAAGAAAAGAAAAGAAAACTTGTAAGTCTAGGGTTGTAATTAGGGTGCCCTGGTTCAATCCCCCCGTACTGACCAAAAAAAAAGTTGTCTGGGAGCCACCCTTCAGGAAAAACACAAAAGGTCTTCTGGTGCCACCATACGCCTCTCCTCACCCTTGCAGTGAAATGAGAGCATCCATCAGCTCAGCCACCCCCTACCCCAGGCAATGGAAGAAACAACAGCAAGAGTCCCAACCCCACCTTGCTAGGTTCAAGCTGCCAGCTCCAACACACAACCCTGGACAAGTCACTCAGTTCCTGCACTTTGTCTCCTTTTATGCTGAATTCATCTTTACCAGGCTGTTGTCAGAATCTGACCTCACAGCGTTGTTCCAAGAACCAAATGAGATCATGTACAGAAAATGCTTGGCAAAACGCCTGGCACTGCAGACACACTGAGCAACACAGAAGCTTCTAACGAGCCCACTGTCTTTGAGGTCTTCCGATGCCCTAGCACCCCACAGTGATGCCCTTTAAAGCCCAGCTCCTGAGGCTCGATGACTCAGTGCTTCACCCCAGGGTTCCCAAAAGCACGGACTCTGGTCAGTGCAGTTGGTCCTGTCCTGCCCCCTGGACCACAGATTAAAGGATTCTGTTCCTTCTCACCCATGTGGATGCTCAGCATGCTGCAGGAGGCAACAGAGAGAGAGCAAAGGTCCTGGCCCTGAAGTGTCTCCCCCAGGTGCCTCCGGGGTTTTACCTAACACAGGCATGAGCCAAGGAAAACAGTGAAAGCACAGGGAAGCCGCTTATCAACCAGAAGAGCATTAACATTTGGTCCCTGGCTAAGCTTAACCTGCTCCTTCTGTCCTACCCCAGTACACACCTCTCCCCTACCTGGACTCACTCCAGCCCCATCACTCTGACCAGGTTAGCTCTCCTCTTTTCTCCTCCAGGAATCCCTTCTCGAACTCTCCTTCCAACATCCAGCCACACTGCCAGGGAAGGCTTAAAAGGGGTTGCTTTCAGAACAACCATTACTAACTGCCAAGAAAACGATGGCAGAGATAATATACAGAGCAGCGCTGGGCAGGCGCCCTTCCATCTCAGGCCTTCGCGCGTGCTGTTTCCTCTGCCTGGAACGCTCGGCCCCTGCTCATCTACCTGACCCGACCCCTCACCTCCTTCAGATCTGTATTTGAATCTCTCCAGTGCCTTCTTTGCCCAGACTATCTAAAAGCATGATCCTCTCCCCTCACATTCACTACTTCCTATTATTTTTCCACAGCACTTACCACTTAATACTTTCATTTTTCAATTTTTTATGTTTTAGAAAATCAAGATCTAACAGGAGGGCTTTTCTGGTTTTGCTTTATTCATAGTTAAATTCAGACCTAAACTAGTATTTAGCCCCACAGTAGCTGTTCAGTAAATACTTTGCTGAATTAATATGTTCAGAGTTATACTCTGATGAAACTTCATAGCTTAAAAGCTTATCATCTGGTAAGTGTAGCATGAAAACATATGAACTAAGCAGGCTACTCAAGGACAGAGAGCCTGTTGTAGTCAGTGCTGTACTGCCAGCCTACCTAGCTCAGTTGTCACAACAATGAAGTTCAGTGACTGTTGAGTAATAGTATTTAAGCAAAGTCAATCAAAAGACCGCAATGAAGGGGCCGGGGAGATGGCTCAGTAGAATAAGTGCCTGCCTGGCAAGCAAAAGGACCTGAGTTCAAGTCCCGGTTCCACCAAAAAAAAAAAAAAAAAAAAAAAAAAGACCGCAATGAAGACTTAAGACAGCAGCAGAGGGGCTGGAGATTTAGGTCAGTGGCACAGTGACTGCCTGGAAAATGTAAGGCCCTTGGGGGCCGGGGAGATGTCTCAGTGGATTAAGCGCTTCCCTGGCAAGCGCAAGGGCCTGAGTTCAATCCCTGATTCTGCAAAAAAAAAAAAAAAGAAAGAAAGACTATAGAATTAGCAGCAACACCAGAAGCCTAAAAGCATCAGTTAGGAAAATACACAGTCACACATCAACATCATAAACGATAGGGTGGGGGAGATGGCTCAGTGGAATAAGTGCTTCCCTGGCAAGCACAAGGGCCTGAGTTCAATCCTTGGTTCTGCAAAATAAATAAATAAATAAAACAAAAGGTAAAATAAAACCAACAATATAGAAGTGTTTTTCTTTTGTTTTAATTAGAATGCCTGGGCACATAGCTCTATGCCAAAACACTTTAAGCCTCCATTAAAAAGTGACGCACCTACCCAGAAACACACAAGGTCAAATTCCAGACCCATTTCTTCCTCCCTTATCCCTCGAGTGTCCTCCTGGGCAGGGGGCCTTCCCAGAAAGCAGGGGAGCCCTGCTCCCCAGGGCTGACCCACACCAGAAGGGCTGCAGTCTGCTGACATCGAGGGCCAACACGCAGGTAGGGGCAGGGGCTCACCTTGTTGAAACAGCTGAAGCCCAGTCCCAGTTCAGCCAGGACCTTCAGCACACCCAGGCTGCTGTTGCACTTGACAGCGTAAAAGGGCCGGACGCGTGGCAGGCACTTCAGAAAGCAGAAGTGCTTCCTCACTACAGCGCCCAGGTCAGCCACGAAGAAGGCGGCAACCTCATCCTGCACAAGAGGTAGATGGACATGAAACCCCCTTGCACCATAGTCCTTCCAAGTCCCTGCCCTGGCTCAGCTCTGGCCACAAAGCTGTAATGTTTCCTGCTGCTCTAATGTTTTCTGGTAGTCCCCACCCCTACAGGATAGAAAGCCAACTAAACTCCTTAGCCTGGCATTCAAAGCTCTGTGATCAGCCCCAGTTTTTCCCTTCACTACAGGTAAAACTTTCAACTAGAGGCTGGATGCAGCAGCTGTGACCTAGAGCACAGTGACTGTCACATACAGGTACTCACTAAAGCCTTGAGGTCATCCCACTGCCACCACAAATTATGCTGGTGGACAACTGGTCATCAAAGACTGGCTGATGGCTGAACATGTATGAAGCTGTAGTGAAATGGCATTATTTAAACCTCCCTGGGGGGCCGGGGAGATAGCTCAGTAGAATAAGCGCTTGCCTGGCAAGCACAAGGGCCTGAGTTCAATCCCCAGTTCCACCAAAAAAAATAAAAAATAAAAAATAAACCTCCCAATTTCCTTGTCATGCAGTACTTTTTAAGTGATGCCTACTTGGTGTCAGATATAATGCTAGGGAACAGAAGTGACCAACGAGGCTTTAGCCCTTGAAGGGACTTTAGATCTAGAAGAGAATGAACCCTTAAGTAATTACAAGTCCCTTGAATAAATACTACCTGGGAGTTTCTACAAAATGAGAACATGGCACTCTCAAAAATCAGAACAGAGCCTATCAGCTACAATGGAGCATACTGTAAACTGTGGAATTATAAAGGCCAGAAATGGGGCTGTGGAAGCAGGCTTGACTTTGTAGCAACAATTTTAAGCAAATGAACCAAGGAGATAATTCAGTAGAATAAGTGTTTGCCTGGCAAGCACAATGTTCTGAGTTCAATCCCTGGTACGGGGGGGGGGGGGGGATTTTAAGTGCTGTACAGTTGGAGGGAGTAGTTTGAAACAAGATCAGGGGCCTGTAGGGTAGGAAGAACTAGACTACTAAGGACATTCTCTGTGAGCGCCCTGGAGGGCTGTTTAAGCAGGCAGAATGCACAAATCTAGGTAAAGCCTAGAGTCAGGAGGTGAAGGAGGGGGCAAAAGACAGACTCCTGGATTTCAACCTGGAGGGCAGGGTTGATGGTGTTAGCCCAGCTTGTTCTTCAAGGAGGGGGACCCGAGAAAAGTCAATGGGAGGGGATGAAAGAATTGGGGCCAAAATAAGCAGTCCCTTGAAAAAAGCATGGACTGAATACCAAATAAGTGCAAGAATAAGATGAGGCCCTTCCAGAGGAGGGGTCCGGGGCCCACCCCCATGCCCAGCCCCTCACCGTGGTGGCCCGGGAGACCCCCCGAGTGAGCTCCTCCAGCAGGTCACGGGTGCTGAAGCCCTCCTCCACCATCACAAAGTCCGATTCACTCAGGTAGCCAGCCATGCCAAGCCAAGCAGGAGTGTGGTCAGTGTGGTCGCTGGGCTGATGGAGCCACTGCCGCTGTCGCAGCCACTGCCTTTAGAAAGTATGCAACACTGCGGGGATAGGGTGGGAGTGGGGGTACCGTGGGGGTCAGGCAGACCTCCCAGGCTGGGCTTCCCATCTAGTCACCCACCACCCTGCCACCAGCACAGGTGTGGGGATCTTCAATTGGCTGGGAAGGGTATGCCACGAACAGCAATCCTGGATTCTACACTGGGACAAGGCATTGTATGTTCAGATGGCACGCCTGTCACAGCCTCAGTCACCCTATCTGTAAAATGGATGGCTTGTTTTGGAGACCTTTTCCAATTCTAAAATGCTGCATTCGGGAAGATGGAAAAAAAAAAAAAATGAGCAAGGATGTGGGATGTTTGAGAAGCCTGGGTATCCCCTGTCCTGACTGCGCCCACCCAGAGTATCAAAGCTTTTCCACCCGAAAACGGGGGCTTAGGTTCGAATTCGCTCTCTGCTGCAGGACCACAACCAGTCTTCGACCGCTCTCTGGGCCTCAGTTTCCCCGCTTGGAAATGGTTGGGCCTGACATGCTAGCATTGTAGGCCTGCATGGGGGAGCCACAAGGTGGGCGGGATCCGCGAGCTCCCCGCAAGAAACGACTACTAAGGTTCTATGTTGGTGGGCCCTCGAGTGCAGGATCGCGGTCCCGTCCCTAAGCCCCCTTACCAAGCCCCGTCCTCCTTCGCGGGGGCCAGAGCCAGACGCGCTGCTAGGGGGGGTCGCCGGTGATCTCGAAACTTGTGCAATCCTCCGAGGAGGAGTGGCAGTTGCGGAGCCGAGGCCCCTGCTGAAAGGAGGCAAGAGCGCGCAGGAGACAGGTCAGCATTGAAGCCGAGGCTGCCCGCTCCCCGAGGCTCCCCAAGCCTGTCCCCCTGTACTCGCCTTAAAACGCATTTACACGGCTTCGGCCCATAGGTCTCCCCAGCGAGTGAATCGGTTCCTCCGCCCCTCCGCTCACTCTCTCGCTCCCCCTGGCTCCGACCCGGAGGCCTGCGCCCCGCGCGCCCAGCAGCCGCCGACCCCACGCCCCGCCTTCCGCCCGCCTCCTGCTTATGTAAGCCACGCCCAAGCCCCACCCCCTGGCGCCCAGGTTCCGCCTAAGCTCACTCCGTAGCCCTGGCAACCGCGTGCCACCGGCCCATTGGTGGATTCGGACATAAAGCATTCAGCTGTACCTGCTGTCGTGCTGCAGTCCTCCGGGAGGAGCCTTTTCGACGGCTACGCAAGAGGGGAACTCGGCCCGTAGAGCTCCAGCGTCTGTGCGGGTAGGATCCTTAGAGTCTGAATCTTGGCTCCGGGAAACTTTTTCTATCCCCGGCAGAACTCAGCAGTGCTTTCTGTCTTCTCCACCCCGTGGAGTGCTAGCTCATCCTCGGGAAATCCAGGTCACATATCGTTCTTTTGTGTTATTTTCTAATAAAATCCTTTTTATTTACTGACCTCTTCTAGGCTTCTCTGACTCTGCCAACCCAAAACCCAGCTCAGGTGTGTTCAGAAGGCCTTTCTGTGGCTTTCCCTGCTCAGGACGATTCCCCTGCCCTTGGCTTTCTGAATTCTAGGAACAAGTAAAATGTGTCTCCTCCAAGAAGCTGTCTGACTTCAAAGCATTTCTCCTTTTCTATACCAACAATCTTACGCTCTGGCTCATCCACCAGAGTCTAGGACAGTGTCACCTCCTCTCTTGCGCCTAGTCCCAAGACATGATAGAACTAAAAGCATTTATGTCTAACTCGATAGACCCTTGCTCATTTGACTGTTAATCGCCATAGCTGAAATTCCCATTGTTGTTTTCCGCTTCCAGTCCGGTGACACTTCTCAGCTATTTTGTGACTCCCAGGGATAGTGACTGACAACTTGGTTCTTCAGGGTGCTTGCTCCGTGTTAAACATACACAAGAGTGCTCTGGAAGATTGCAATAGCTGTCTTACTCAAAAGCTTATTCAAAGGTTCATCTGGAGGTCTAGCAAGGTGGCACATGCCTGTAATCCCAGCACTCAGGAGGCTGAAGCAGGAGAATCCTTACTAGTTGGTAGAGTTCGAACCCAAACCCAAACAAAAATGTTCTATATATTCATAGAACTGGAAAGTTTGCACAATATTTTCATGGCCATCATTTTATTCAGGCTTCCCCAGATTCTACCCATAGGAATTTCCTAGGACTGCCATAACAAAGTGCCAGTTATTAGTGGCTTAAAACAGTGGGAATAGGGGCCAGGGAGATGGCTCAGTGGAATAAGTGCTTCCCTGGCAAGCGCAAGGGCCTGAGTTCAATCCCCGGTTCCACAAAAAAAAAAAAAAAAACAGTGGGAGTACAGCAATTAACCACTAAGAAGAAT